CATTATTTAGTCTTTGCGTAATTTTGTGTATTCATTGCATCGTAACCATATGATCCATTAAGTGAAATCTTGCAAAATAAACTTTTTCCTTTATTTCCTTCTAATTCAGCTTTTGTCTTTCGTTCATAATTCGTTCGCAAATTCATTAAAACAAGTGTTTTTAGTAAATGTTAAAATTGATTGAATATCATCAATGATAAAATGAAATCTGTCTATTAGATACCAAAGATAATAAGAAGAAAATGGTTGATATTGGTTGTGTGTTGATGCTAACTGAGTTAATTTTCTCTGTTTCTGGTCAACTGTAGATTGTTTGATTTCATGTAATTATACATAAAACTGCCAATTGTTTTTTCATCTGTGATAATATCTAAGTTTCTTATTATCGGTAAAAAGTTTATGTAATCATTAATGTATTTTTCATCAATGTGACCCTTTACTTCAGCCACGAATAAAGTATTTTTCTTCTTAATTATTCCCAATGCTTTTGCTTTCTTTGTTGCTGTATCACAAATGATAACACCATTCAATCTTCCGCATATACATTTTATGGTCAGTATATTGAATGAAATCATGAGGATTAGATGAAAATGATGAAGGATATAATGAATTAAAGTCAACACCAACGAAATGAGTCATAATGTTGGAAGTGTCCTCATTTGATACAGTTTTAGTTTCTGGATTAATGAAAGTTTATTAATGTGCGTGATTCCTTTAAGATTTACTCTATGTTGAACATTTGATAAACCACCAGTAATTCCATTACGGAGGATGTGATAAGCTTCAACTGAATCTAGAGTCATTGGTAAATTATTTTTTAATGCATAATTTCTTAAATTGATTCTTAAACGTTGAACATCTTCATCTTTATTTGATTTTACGACATTGCAATAACAACACATTAACTGACAATTTTCTTTGGTATGTGGTTTTTCATTATCGATTCTATCTAATGTTGGTTTATTAGCATATGTAAACGCTTTACCACACATTTTGCATTTAGATGAAAGGATTAAATCGTGATAGTATTGATAGTCATCCATTGAAACATTGTTTTTAGTATCCCTTTCTGCTTTTCATCTTGTTTCTTATATGAATCAATTTTATATTTCCAATACTTTTTTGTTAATTCAAAACTTGATTCCACATTTTCTTCTGGATATGTTTCGTTAGGATTGAAGTTCTTATATGCTAACGCGTAACGAATCATTGATGCATTCGATGATAAAGAAAGATTATGAAGCATGTCAATTTTATAAACAAATGTTTCTTCAATAATTTTATCAATTGGGTCAATCATAATTTCAACGTCTTTATTGCAATAATGAATAAAATATTCTAATCTATTCTCAAAATTTTTAGCATCATTGAGATATATTTGATAATCTGAATCGGATATTGTTTCTTGAGTTAATGCTGAATAAAATGAATCTTGAGTGAATGGTTCCACTTTATATAATTCATCTTCGTAATTCTCCCATGTGATGAATTGATAAGGGAAAAAGGATTTAACACGTGATTTATTGTTTCCGAAATCTTGAGTGAATTGGTCTAATGTTCCACCCGCTATATAATTTCTGATGTCAATAAATCTTAATTCATATGGACAGTTTGTTTTCTTTACAATGATTTGCTTAAATTGAGAAGAAGAACCCAGCATTGATTTTATTTTCCATTTTGCAGTGTTTAAATCACGAAGAATTAAATTTAAATCAAACTTTCCCGAATTAAAACCTATGATATTCACTTTATTGAATTCCTCATCTAGAAGTTCTTTAAATGCTTCCTTCTGTTTTTCATTTAATGTATGGGACAAAGTCCCCGCCGTTTGGTCCGTTTGCGGCTTCATTAATTCTTCATATTGTTCAATATTTGATTTAGCAACTATATGAACAGGTTGAAAATAAAAATTCAATCCAATCAGAGATGAACGAATCACTTGATGTTAAGCAAAAATTCCTCGTAAATGTTTTATCACGGTCTACGACCTCGCCGCTTCGGTCTGAAAGACCTCAGACTCAAAGAGTCCGTTTGCGGCTTTATTTTGACAGTTGATGATACCATAAATGGTTTTAAGTAAGCGTTCAAAGTTGCACATTCAGAAAGTTGAAGTTCTTCTTTAGTCTCTAATGTTTCGAAGTCAAAAGTAATATAATATCTTGTTGGTTTATAATATTCCTGCAAATTGTGAGCTAATAGCCATTGATATATCTTCTGTTTCGTGATATGTGGTGCATATGGTTGTTGTGTGTTTTGCAATTGAACGTCTTGAATTAATCTTCCATTATTTTCTTTACATTTCTCACAATGTTTTAAAAATCTTTCTTTGGTTTTTCCTTTCTGGATCATCGCGGATAGAATAAACTTCTTCTTACAAAAGGGGCAAACTTTATATCCTGTGAGTGCTTCAACGTCTGTTATTCTGTCAGCGTGAAGTTTTCCACATGGACTCTGTGTTTAATAAATATTTATTGTTTCAAATTCTGGATCTATCATTATTGAATCCACTAATGGAAAGTCTACCATATTTATGTCCACGTCTTCTGGTTGAGGGTCACAATAATAAAAATCAATATTAACGTTTAACATTCTTGCTAACCTCTCACTTTCTGATGAAATGTCAAATCCTTCATATGCATCTATGGCTTCATTTAAATAACTTCTACGAGTTTTAGGATTAACACCATCAGGAATGTTATAGAAGCGTTTAAATAACCTTCTACCTTCTGCTCTAATTTGATTATCATTCATTTTAGCTGTTCCATTTTTGTTCATTTATGTAAGAATAAAAAAATTAAAAAATAAATAAAAATAAAGTTTATTTTTTTAAAGTCCATAAAATGAATTAAGAACACATAAATTTTTATCATCTGCGACGTGACGAATACATTTTAATTTACTCAAAGAATGCGTACCCTGATACATTAAATCTAATTCCTGTCTTATTTAATTTCACAACTTTGAAAAGGAATGTATGAATAGCTATAAAATGATGAGATGATGTTTTATGGGTTGCTTCCATTTTTTCTGAAATAAATGAATAAATATAATGTTTATAAGTTTTCATATCTTTTATGTTCTTAATAACGAATGGTATAGACTTTTCAACTTCGTCTTCCTTCGGTGCTGTTCTTTCATATGAAACATTATTGGTATCTTCAATAATGAAACCACAATCGCATAAAATTTTATATGTACCAATTGTTTCTTTTGATATTTTATCTAACAAATCAAAAACTTTATCAACACCTGTACATTTATTTAAATAATAATTTGTGTAAATATCATGGTCTTCTTTCTTAATCGTATTTGTTGCATATGTTACATTTTTCAGTGCTTTTTTGAATTTTTTCAGAATCAAGAGGAGGTGAAAGTAATATACATGGATAATCTCCATCGTCAATAAATTGTAACTTATGTTTATGAATAAATTTAGTACCTTCTTCTGAAAGTGTTTCGTCTATTTCACCATCTAATAAATTTTGTGTGTGATTCTGAGACATAATTTTTATATCTTTCTTCATGAGATTTTTGAACTGCTGATTCTGAAGCTGGGATATTCATTAAACCCTCTACTTCATTTTCATTATATTTTTCAACTTCTCTTAATTCCTTAATTTTTCATCTATTTCATCTCTTATTTTTTCCAGTCTTTCAATTTCATCATATTCATCATCTTGAATCCGTTCTTCATAATATTCAGGGAAAACATCAGGTTCTTTAGGTTTTTCTTCTTCAGATGTGGGATATAAAAAATTTATAACATCATCTTTATTCATTTTTCCAATCATAATCTAAATCATTTAAAAACTCTGCGAATTTTTTGACAATTTCTTAAATAATATTTATTAACTTCATAACCCGCCTCCTCTAATATATCCTTTATTTCCTCGTTTGGTGATCCTAATTTTTTAACGTTGTTAGTTTTGACACTCATTTCATACAAAATAAAAAAATAAAATAATAAACATAACTAAGTTTTAATTTTTCGTAAGAAGTTTATTTTCATTCATGAATGATAATTATATCTGATTTCTTTATTCTCTCGTACATACTAGATTTGAAGAATTCAGAACTTTTACCATAATCTCCTAAATGTTTTCTTATCCCTAACGTGTGCCAGTTATTATATGAAACTGAATAAACTTTATCTTTATCTTTACACCTTTCATCACTTCCAATATATTTATATCTCAGTTTTGATTTTGCATTTTCATATTCATTAGCGTTTAATAATTCACAGTCTTCCTTTTTAAATTGATGTTTAAGATATTCAGGATTTAATACTCTACGTTTATATGCTCCTAACTTAGTTCTAAAGGTTTTTCTACAAAATTTAGGAATTCCATCCTCTTTAATGTCATCAATGATTTCCATTTCATTATTTTCAATTTCTTCTTCTCGTTTATGAGGTCTTTGATTATGACTCCATTGATTCCATGAAATTAAATATTCTTTATCATTATATTTATACCTCATTAGCTTATTTTGGCTTTCATATTCATTTAATAATTCACAATCTTCATTTTTAAATTGAAGTTTAACCCATTCAGGATTTAAACAATGTTTAATTAATCGCGGAATATCTGATATCATCTATATATAGATTATTTTATAAAAGATAAAAAATAAATTATTTTAAAATTAATGTTAATTTTTTAATGATTTATAAATAAATATATTTTAATGCATCGTCTATATATAGATGCAACAAAAAAAGTCACACAACCCGCACTCATATACTACTATTCAATGATATAAAGTTGGTCTGATCGAAATCTTAAAAATCGTAATGTTTCTAATTAAAAACAGATTTTTCTACGATATCAAGCTCAGTTTTTATCTCAAAAATGATATTATTGTTTTATATTTTGAAAATCAAAGAAATATTATAGTTTGTATAGGTTAATTTCTAATGTAATTACAATTTTTATTCATATTAATAAATAAACTCTAATCGAAGTTTGTTCAATTGAATTTTTTTGTAAAAATCAAGCAAATTATTCGTAGTTTGCAAGGATATTGCCTGTGATTCCATACTGATGGGTCTTTGAATCAACTTCCTTAAGCTGGAATGTAGCGAGCAACTTCTTTGAATTTGCTTCGATAACTGTTGTCAAAACGAGGCCATCTTGGATTGGTTGGGCTTGTAATGGATGCTTTGTTGTGTTAAATGGTAATAATGGTTCGTATTTCTTAAGAACATTTTGAACTCCTTCAACTTCTTCGTCAAAAATCTTTGCTTTTACTTTTTCAGTGAAGAATGGTTGAATGTTCTCTGTTTTCTTTGCTAATTCAAGGAAGTGCTCCTGGAATTTCTCTGCAACATTGATATAGTTGACACTCATTGAAGTTGTCACTTTTATTGAAGGGGCACATTAGAGTAATATAATGCGATTCTATAACAAATAAATCTAAAATCTGGAATCATAATAAAATATTATGATTTTGACGTCCAATCTATTTTCTTTATGAAAAATTGAATTCGTTTCTTATGAAAAACTTATATTTACAACAAAAAAGTGATTAAAACGTTGCACTATTTCTGATATGTATAGGAGTTTGTCATAAATCCTTAAAAATTAATCAAAATTGATTAAAACTCAATAATTCGAGCTAAATTCGATTTAAATCAACGTAAAATGATGATTTATTGATGAATGATTTTCCAAAATTTTTTCGAAATTAAAAATATTACTTGAAAAATTGTAGAAAAAATAATCAAAATTTCAATTTCGAAAAAATTTTGGAATTAAAAGAATGAATTTCCTAAGAATTAAATCGACAAAAAGTTCTAATAATAAACAAAATTATAATTTTATACCAAAAATATAGATTTTATTTGAAATTTGAAAATATAATTCAATAATTTTCTGAATTAGATAATAGTTTTAAGCCATTTCTCTCTAAAATTATGTTGCAAAACTAATACTACTCAATTTATAAAATTAAACTAAAAGGATTAAAATAAAATATTAAATTTTAAGAAATATTAAGTCAGAAAATCGAGTAAATTAAAATAAAAATGTTTTTAAACATTAATAATGCTTACTGGCTCTGGTAGAGTTTCTCAATTGTTGACATGTATCTAAGTTCGAGTTTCTTCCTCTTCAACTTGAATGTTGGAGTCATGAACTCATTCTCCAATGTCCAAGGCGATGGTTCGATAGCGATGTTGTTAATTCTCTGGTAACCGAATAATTTCGACTCTGTTGCAGCGTTCTTGAGTCTTTCTAGGATCTCCTTCTTGAGTTCCGGAGACTCACAAGCCTGTTTGTATTCATCGTCTGTCATTTCGGTCTTATTGAAGAATTTGAGGACTTCTGCCTTTCTTGGAACGATGATTGCGACCAAGAATGTTCTTGATGAATCACCGTAAATGAAAGACTGTAAAACAATAGGTACACTATCGTAAACTTGAGAAAGAGATTCAGCAGCGACGTATTCACCTTGAGAAAGCTTGAAAATTGATCCCATTCTGTCGACGATCATGAGATAACCATCTCTATCCCATTTTCCGACGTCTCCTGTCTTAATCCATTTATGAGTTTCATCTGTGAACAATTTCTTGGTAGATTCTTCATCGTGTAAGTATCCACTGGACAAGCACTGTCCGCCAATCAAGATTTGGCCGCAAAGAGGGTCATCGTAATCTTCGATTTCTTCTAACTTGACTTCTACGTTCTGTAGTGGGCCACCGATTGAGCCCTTCTTTATATGATGGATATCCGGTGGAGAGCAGATGTTTCCTGAGCCAGCTTCGGTTAATCCGTATCCGACTCGAACAGGAAGACCTGTTGCGACTTGTAGGAACTCCTGGATGTTAGGATCCATTGCAGCACCACCGACAACGAACTGCTTGATGCATCCGCCCATCATAGCGTTAATTCTGTTAAATGCGATGATATCGAGTGGAAAAGTTGGTAAATAATGGTCGATGCAGAATTTCTTGGCGTACCAGCATCCCCAGAAGAAGGCCCTCGTTAGGGCTGATTTCTTAAGCTTTCCGGTGATTGCTTCGTTGAATCTGTACATTACACGCGGAACTGCGCAAAGATAGGTTGGCTTGAGGATCTTCATGTCTTCAATGAGCTTGGTAATGCCTTGGCTGATGAATCCGATCTGGCCACCGTAATATGCAGTAACTGATGAAGCAGATCTCTCAAAGACGTGGGCAAGAGGTAGGTAGGATAAATGCCTTGGATCCTTACCAAGGTCGATGTAGTTTGCTGCAGCAAGAATGTTAGAAACGCTAGCGCGATGAGAAATGATGACTCCTTTTGGATTTCCTGTAGTTCCTGAGGAGTAACAGATGAAGTGTGGGGCTTCTGGATCGATCTTGGGGAAATCATGACGATTCTTCTTGCCGAGTTCAAAAACTTCATCATAAGTGACGAGTTTGATGTCAGTATTGTATTTTCCTTCAGGAACTGTGCCGATAACAATGATCAGACGTAGGAAATACTTGTTTACGGAAACAATCTTCATTAATTTGTCAAGATTTGCTTGGGAAACGATACAGGCTTCCATTTGGGAATGCTCGAGGAGATAGTTAAGAGCATTAGGTCCGAGGGAGTCGTACAATGAAACAATGACGAATCCATACAAAGAGGAAGCGTCAATTGTATTAACCCACTCTGGGCAGTTTGTAGAGTAAATACCTAGTGTTTTTCCGAGAGTAATTCCAAGTTCCTGCAAGCCTGAGCCGATATTCAAAGCGATCTCTTCTCCTTCGGCGTATGTAATAAATTTATAATCATCGCTCCACTTTTCCTGATCAATTTTATATCTATGACCAAGGTAAGGCTTATTTGCATAATTCTTGAAGAATTTAAGCGTGAAAGCCTGCATTTCTTGCATATCTGGCGGATTTTCGGCCGGGCCATCTGGATGATCTGGATGTCTCCTGATCGCAAATGGACTATCCTGCTCACCTGTTCCTAAAACTGAAACAGTAGTAACACTTTGTTGAGAACCCATTCTAAAAAATTAATGCAAAATTGACATTTCAAGAAAAAAAAAATTCAATTGATCTCACATCACCTGATAACTTTGATATCGTAAATATATTAATCTTTTTTATTTATGAAGAAAAACACTCCGATTAGATTGAATACTTTATAAAATTTTGTCAATTTTTTATGTAAATTCTACGGTCTAACCAATAGTTTTTTCGCCGAAAAAGGGAGTCAATAAATACAACAGTGAAATGAGCACATCTAATATTAGTGATATTTCATTATTTCTTGATTGAGATTCATTAAATTTTCAAAATTTCATTTAAATTTACCTAATAGTCTTCATGTTGGTAACTTCTTGATTGAGATATGAAACACCTACTATCTAGTAATTATATATTTGATCGAACAATTACGTTTAGTACATAATAATTTCATATTTCAATGATATATTTTTTCAAAAAAAGAGCATTATTCGTTTATCAGTTACTGCTCTTATCTGAGAATGTATTTATTGTCAAATAAACTTTCCAATACGTATCGAATTATAAAATTCGCGATTAGATTGAGATTATTGCCAAAATTTTGTAAACTTCAGAATTAAAATTTTTGACAATGATAGAAGAATCGCATAAACTCCTTACTGACGCATTAATGGATCTTAATGCAATATCAACAGATATATCAAATATTGAAATAGAACAAGCCATTGAAGGAGAAGAGCGAATTTGTTTCATTTGTTGTAATTCATATGAAAAAGAAGCGTTTTATTTAGGTCCTGCACCAGTAAACGACTCTATTACTGTTGCAAATTTTCATTTAAAACTAAATTATAAAATAATTCATATGCATAATCCACCTCCGAGATTATTTTTAACAAGTTTTGATATATTACTCGCATCAGATTTAAAATATCTTACAGTATTCTTCTGCGGCCATGGAAGTGTCAAAGATAATGAAGGCGTCATTGTTTTCGATAACGGATACATTCGATCTAGTACAATTACAAAGCATTTAAACTTACTTGGAAAGCCTGAATGCTGTAAGTTAATTGTATCAGATTGTTGCGGTGCAGAATCTGTTTGGTGTTCAGGATCTATACCAAAGAATACAATTTCACTCTGTTCATCGCCTGGACTTAAACCATCGCTTCAGGCGAACGTTAAAGGAAAAGCCCAAGGATTATTTACATATTTCTTCTGGAAAACTGCTACAAAATTTAATGCACTTCCTCTTGCAGCCATTATACAGTCTGCAAATCAACATTTGAGGAAGTTTGGCCAAACAATTAAATGCGAAACTAATCCTGAAGATGTTATTGATCAAAGATTATTATCTTCGATTCAGGGAAGTGTCAACATTAACAAAATACTCGGACAATACAAGAATAGAAAGAAATTCTATCAAACATATTCAGAAGAATCGCTTACAAAAATTTCGAAATTCTTTTAAGGGTATAGTAAACTCAAAATTCTAGAGTTTTGAGAGTGCCAATAAACTCTATAGGCCTATATATATCTATATTTTAAAGGAGAGGTTACGCCATAATATTTGATATTATAAATTATTAATTCAAAATAAAAGTAGAAAATGAAACTAATTTTATTCTAACCTATATAAATATATCAATAATCTAAAATGATTATAGTCTGAACTATATTTTACCAGATTATCAAATATAAGAGAAATGAAATAAGGCATAAAAATATCATAGCATAATTATTGGATAAATGCATTAATAAATTATTTATATCATAATGAGAAAAAATCAAAATAAGAAAATGAGCATAATACCCAGATTTGCTTTACTTTTACCACTCCCCATGTAATTTCTGGGGAAAACGATAATTCATTTTTTTATGGATGAATAGATCGTTTTCCTAGAAAGGACCTCATATCTCTGGCTAAAAAGAGTGTCAGATCCTAAATAGATTATTGATCTAGTGTACAAATCCAATAAAAAGCCTATTTTTTTGGCTTTTTTGGTGCTCATTTTTTCGAAGATCTACATGAATATGGGGAAACCATCGGATTTTTTTGGTTAACCCACATCTTCATGTAGTCTGGACTATCTTTCCTCGAAGGACCTCTTTACGGGTGTAAAAACTCATAAAGTTCTCAAAAGATTCATTCTCGATCTCCATGCTGAAAGAATTTACAATAAAAAAGAGATCTACGCATCAAACTACAGCCATAAATGAACTGAACCCCTAAAGCTCAGCTCTTAGTTTATCAAAAACGTCGAAATCCTTCTCATTGCAATCAAATTTTCTCAATAACTCATAAGAAAAATCGAATTTTGATTAAGCCGATGTTATAGGTATCACAAATACTACAAACTTGAGCAATATCGAAATTGCCAGCAAAAGTTTGAAATTGCATTGCTCATATTTGTTTTGTAAACTAAAAATCTGCTTATATTATTCATTAATTTTTTATATATTATTCATATACTTTAATAAAAACAATACTATTTCACCTTAAAAATGAATTTCATAAGTCAATATTATTTTTTTGAAAATGTATCAATTTTCGATTAAAACAACATGAGAATAAAATTTACGCAAAATTATTTTAAAAAATGGTTTTAAAAATTTACAATTGATGAAGAATAAGATTGCAAGAAGTTTTGAAGTTTAATTTTAAGAAAAAAAAATCGGATATTATTCATGGATCTAAGTAATCTGATATTTGAGTATCGGCACTATGCATAAAACATATATTTATAGTTTTTTTGGAGTTTTATGATTTTAAATATATTCAAATTTGGCAATCCAATAGATTTTTAAAAAATAGGTAAATAAAAATAGATTACATATGCAGCAGATTTAGAACATGAAACAAATCTTATAGTGACCCAAAAAAAAATTCATGATCCAAAAAAGAAAAAATTTGGCTAAATGGGAATCAAACCTTGGCATAATGAATCATTATGTCGGATGTTTCCACTACACTACACGGGCAGTTCGAAAAATACCCTTGGTGATTCTATTTAATAGCTACTCCCAACGATAGGCGGTGTCCCCAGCTTTCGAGAGGTGGTAAAAGTAAAGCAAATCTGGGTAATAATTTAATTAAAAACAAAAACAATAAATAAAATGTAATTTTCGTTAATCAAAGTCATCAATGTCTTCGTCTTCTGATTCCCATTCGGACTTGAAAACTTGATAATCTCCTCCTGGTACACTCTGAATGGATTTTTTGTATTTGTTCTGTTTTTTAGAACCTTTTGTAACAGTTTTTTGTTTCAATATCATTTTGGAGTAACAATTCTCTTCAAATGATTTGACACAATCTTCTGGAAGTGGGGGAAGATGTAATGCTTTTTGTATATCTCCGAGAAAATGCTCTGGATCATTCCATTCTAAGATTGCAACGTTAACTCTAATGTTAATGTTCTTCCAGGCTCATGATTTGTCCAAATAGCATGCAATTTTGGAGTTAAACGCTTCATTCATGCAGGTAGATCCAATGGAAGAAACTTTGGAAACTATGGGTGTCCATTTGTGAACCCAGTCATAGAGCATGAATTGAAGTTGGATCGAATTGACACCTTTTTGCCATTCAAAGCATTTGTAATTGTGCGGTTCGCAAAAAGAATGATTGCCTACGTAATGGTAGACACAATTCTCCCACATTTTCGTACGTTTGTCAATATTTTCTTCGGCAAAACATGACCAAAGCCACATACTTAGGCTTGCATTCAGACCCCAGAAAGGTCTCTCTATTTTTTCAATCTTCTGAGTCTTGTCGTTGAAAACTTCAACTGTCTTATGAGAAGCTGAGAACTTTGTAAAATCTTTTGAGATATTTTTTGATACATGACCTGGATCGAATCTTTCAAGATGAGAGACGCCAAATTCTTTAAAGACAGAGACACTTTTGTTATCTCGGTCTTTAATAATCTCTTTAACATCTTTCAAGATATTGTATTTCTTTAATTGCTTCAAGATGATTCGAGTTCCAGCACTTTCCATATTGTTGGAAGCTCCGGAATACTGAGCATGCTGTCTGTTTCCACCAATATGGTTGATGTTCACGCATGCAAGAACTCTTTTTGTGACAGCATCGAGCGCAGTTACTGTACAACTTGGCGAGTTTCGCCTGTGCGTCCATCTTGCATCAATGGATAAGTAACCACTGAAGGACTTTCTCGACAGCATTAGGGAAATACTTTTAAGTCTTCTAATCTTATCGTCACAAAATCTCTGTTGTCTCATGACACCACTCTTCACAGGGGGCTTAGTTCCACAAAGAGAAAGAAAGCGAGCACCTTTTGTATATGGCATTCCGGTCATTATGCAAGCACCAAGCATCTGTCGCGCTGAGAGTCGACGACGTTCGTGGAGTAAAATGTTATGCATTGCCTTTGTTTTCCGTTTTGGGTGAACAATATGGCCCATACAATGAAAATAAGCTCTTCATTTAGCAGCAGATAGAAATTATGAACAAACAGACAAGTTTCTTATTAAACATCATCCATAAATCAATGCGAAAAAATATATATGAAAAACGGTTCTTCATTTAGCATCATGGAAAATTGAAAGTAGTAATTGAAATTCTTATTTTACATGATACAAAGACCATCGATTGCTTCATTTTTAAGAGTAATGGAATGGTAAATAACAAATTAAAGTACGAAAAGGCGATAAAAAAAAGGAGAGATTATATACGTAAAAAAATCGTTTTATGAATTAAGCTTAATTATTTTTTTTATTTCTAATGAAATTAATCTTCGAAAATATCAGAAAAGGAAAGAATAGTTTTCCTATCATTATCTTATTCATTGATATTTATACCATGTGAAATAAGAAGTTCGGCTATTTTTTTATTTTTATAACGTGTTGCAATATGAAGAGCGGTTTCTTCATTATTATTTTTTTCATTGATATTTATACCATGTGAAATAAGAAATTCGGCTATTTCTTTTCTATTACAACGTGCTGCAATATGAAGAGCGGTTTCTCCTTTATTATTTCTTTCATTGATATTTATACCATGTGAAATAAGAACTTCTGCGATTGTTTTATTATTTTTATCTGCTGCAATATGAAGAGCGGTTTCTCCTTTATTATTTTTTTCATTGATATTTATACCATGTGAAATAAGAAATTCGGCTATTTCTTTTCTATTACAACGTGCTGCAATATGAAGAGCGGTTTCTCCTTTATTATTTCTTTCATTGATATTTATACCATGTGAAATAAGAACTTCTGCGATTTCTTTACTATAATTATCTGCTGCAATATGAAGAGCAGTTCCTCCATATTTATCTTTTGAATTGATATTTATACCGTGTGAAATAAGAAGTTCGGCTATTTCATCATTATATTTCAATATTGCAATATAAAGAGCGGTTCTCCCATCATTATTTTTTTATTGATATTTATACGATGTGAAATAAGAAATTTGACTGTTTCTTTACTATTATAACGTGCCGCAATATGAAGAGCGGTTTCTCCAAAAATATCTGTTTCATTGATATATGCACCCTTTGATAGGAAATATTCACAAAGAGATGGAATATTAAATATCACCAAATTAATAAAGCATTTGTCAACATCATTAGTTTGATCGAAACATACTAAAAATGATTCTAGATTATTGTTTATTGCACAACAATCCAAATCGATCCATAAATCATATTCATTCTTCAAGAATGTAACAAAATCAATGTTGTGTGAAATAATTGCATATTCCATGCAAAATCTATCTGGTGTTTGATATTTCAAACATTCACTCATGATCTCTTGATTTCCTCCTAAAAATGAAAATAGAAGACATCTTCCATTTATTTTTGTGCTGAATTTCGTTCTTAAGACTTTGAAACAATCAACTGCTCCATGGTAACAACATAATTCAATTAATGAATATTTTTTATAAGAATGTGGATATAAACTACTTTCAAGCATTTTATCTTTATCAAATCCTTCTCTTTCTGTGAATGAAATGAATCTTTCTAAGTCATTATACATAATTGCCCTGTAAATAGTATCTTCTTTGTAAAGGGCAAGAGTTTCAGCACAGTTGACCTCTGGTATATGGTAATCATCAGATAAGAGTTTGGCCAGATATAAATATGACTTTGTATAGCGATTATTATAAGGAATTATATTTGAAATATCTTTCCTAATCTTTGTTGGTGAGTATGTCTTTGAATCAATCAATTCTGTTTTGATCTTTTTGTAAATTTCTTTTAATTCTTCTTCTTTGTCCGTTTTCAGCTGATATAACGCATTATATGAATCAATGTAGTATTTATAGATACTTCGCAGTTTGCTGAATTTATTTGGATGAATGTCTTGCTCGGACATCAATAATTTTTTAAAAGGACACATTTGCAAATCGGCATATAAATATCTTTTAAACTTATTAGATTATACAAATATTATGTTAGACATGCGGAAATCAATCATCACAAAGATTTCGGAAATAATTTATGAATATTAATTAAGTTGATAGATATGAAATGACACAACAGCATCAGAAAAGTCGAAACCTTTAGGATTTTCATCCAGAAGATTATACTATTAAAATATATTGTGGGATATAATTGTAATCGGGACAAATATCGTGCTATTTGAGAAAAAAGTAAGAATATTGTATGTTCTTAATAGAATTAAAGAACAGAAAGAAATTTATTATTCCAATTTCTCAAATATCAGTCAGTTTAGCATTTTAATGTAGTAACTTATAAAGACAAAGGAATAAATAGCTGAAACTTTCTTGTTGATTCTAGATATTATGTATTGTTCACAAAATATGTAATTTTTTAATTATTTATTAGTGCAGATACCAACCACTCACAATACTTCTTTCGCCATAACTTTTGCAGTAGTAGATTGTGTGATATCCCCACTATCCTCAGAGTAAGTTTTTGTCAATGAAATATAAAGTACGAATTTCCAACAAGCATAAGTTTTATTATCTGATTTTTTTTTTCATTTTTAATGCAAGTGCTTTTAGTCATGGTGCGATATCTCGTAACTCTCATAAAAATGTGTTGTAGATTACATAGAAATAAATAATTTTTAAAAGACATAAATAAAATACTAATAGTGATTATTCATCTTCATTCACTTTTGGCGCTGGGGCTTTCTTCTTCTTTTTCTTTGGCTTTTCTTCCTCTTCTTCGTCATCTTCTTCTGCTTTCTTCTTCTGTTGCTTCTTTGATTTAGAATCAACAGCTTCAGACATCTTAATTGATACATCAACTTCGGCTTCCGCTTCAGTTTTTTCTTCTTCAGATTTATTCTCTTCTTTTTCTGGTTTTTCTTCTTCTGCCTTATTTTCCTCTTTTTCAGGTTTAGGTTCTTCAGCCTTTGGCTCTTCTGATGGTCTACTTGATATAGAAGCGCTTGCAGCTACAGACATGCTTTGATTATTTACATACAAAGCGCGATCTAAGTCATTACCCTCTCCAGCTGGTTGTGGCAATAAGTCGATCTTTTCGTTAGATGGGACGATCTTATGGGGGTTCCTAAATGCACCTTTTCCATCCAATTTAGCTAATCTTTCTTCTCCTGCAAGCATTCTTGCTTCTAAAGCAGCCAATCTGTTATGAATGTTGATAGGTAATGCTCCTTTCTGTTTATCAGCCATCCTCTGTTCATTTGTAAGCTCAATTGTGTTGACAACATTATTTAATTTCATTTTAATATCACGCATCTTGCCAACAATGTTTCCTTCGCCTTCCAATGTGTCTTCCAATTCATTTATCCTCTGTATCGCTCTGTTTTGAGCTCTTTCCGCTGAAGAATAATCTTTTCTGATTTGATCAACAACTCTACGACATGACATATCAACTTGTTTCCTTCTTGAGCTTATTTCATCTTCAACTTTAGTGTTCAAACTGTTGCTTGCGTTGCTGTTTTCTGTGGACATATCTTTAGATCTTGCTTCAAGACCTCCTAAAGATGATTCGACTTCGAATGATAATCGCTGGAGTTTTATCTTCACGTTATCTTGAAGATTCTTAAGACTATCTTTAGTAGCGTCTGATGTTTGAAGTAAATTATCAATAGTTTCTTCTGTTTTACCCCAAGAAGTAATAACTTGCGAATTCTTGTCTTTTATCTTTTCCAGATCGGCTTTGACCTTTTCTACTCTTTGAGCAACATATTGATCTAATTGAACGTGAGCTTCATCAAAATGAACGGCTGTTGCCTGAATCTTCTGAGGAATAACCTGCTCTGTAAGTCGAGTAATATATTCCTTTGTTGATTCAAGAGATGTAGAAACGGTTGTTTGTCCAGATCCTAGAGCTGGAGAATCTTGAAGCAGATCGCGAAGAAGCTGGACTTTATGCGTTAAGGCACCAATCTTAGGAACGTAAGAGTCAAATTGAGTATTGATTTTTGCTTGTTGAGATTTCAAATTATTCTGAGATTCTTCAATTTTCGCAGATATACTCTCTAAGGACGAATCGACTTTGGAAAAGCTTGTTTGTGTAGATAACAAAAGCTCATTTACTTTGCTCTTTGAAGATTTAATATCTTCTTGTAAAGGTTTAAGTTTTGCTTCAATATCCATGCGAACAAAACGATCAAAGTTTGAGGAAAGTTGATCGTATTGGCGTCTAAGTGGTATTAATTCATCAGTTTGAATAGAATTTAATTTATCTCTTGCGCGATTGAGTTGTTGCTTTGATTCTTCTTGAGCATGCTCGAGTTTTTGTATTTCTGGTTGAATGGTTCGCTCCATATCATTTAATTGAGACTCAAGGTTGTGGAATTTTGATTCTTGTTGGTGTTGAATAGTCTGTACTTGCGCGTAGAGCTCACTTCTGATATGCTGGATATCACCTAGACTATCAGTGACAGGTTGAACTATTCTTTGTGGCATTGGCTTGACTTTCTCGTTCTCAGTTTCAAATAACGGTTCTGTATTTTCAACAGTTTCTGTTTGCTCAGCCTGAGCTTCTTCCTCATTATGATTCTCCTCAACTTCTGTATTTTCAGGTTGCGGATTTTCAGCAGGTTCTTCAGACATCACAAAAAGAAATTTTGCGAATTCACAAAAAACGTATTTTTTTTCTGATTTCAGAATTTTTATTGAACTTGATTTTGATTAATTAACTAATAAATAAACAAATTATTTATATAACTTTTATTTTTAAGGTTAATTTCGCTAAATGCTTTCTACGATTTTGAAAGGGTAAAAGTCATTCCTGAGTTAGAAAGATAGCAAATTGAGCTCTTCTAGAGCTTATGTGCACATACTCAATCCGAGTTTTCGCTTATTAAAATTTGGAAATTCGAATTATATTTTCCGTTAAAACAAATATTTATTATAAATACAAACAAAAATCATTAGAAAGTGTAAAATGCAAAGCTTTGGGAAAAATAATTTGCTTCATTTTGGAAAATAAGCACTGCCTTCACTCTAATAAAAGATGGCATTAAACGGATAAACTCATGAACATATGGTATGCATTATTATCAAACCTAATGGATAAAACGATAAATCAAATTATCTTTGCGATATAATTTTGATTTTCGTACGTGATAATACTGTAGTCATTGAGTACTTTCCAAGGTTCTGTTAATTCGACTTATTTCTTAAGATTGGAATTTGATCTTATAAAAATTGTCGATATAACAGTAGTGATCGACTAACCTTGCAGAAAAACAATTAAAGTAAAGGATGAATGCAATCAAATCGAAAAATTTGATATTTGAATGTTGAATGATGAAAATTAATTAAAACTTCTCTATTTGGGATAAGTAATTTGTCAAAACTTGTATTATGCTACAGCTTGCTCTTCTTCTTCATTGATTTCATCCATTGATTGAACTTCATCTTCTTCGTTAACATCGAAATCGTCTTCAATAACTAATGCAAACGAAATTTTAGCAACATCTTCTCTCCATGTTGCGTGAATTATTAAGCAACAAGCGTAGAACGCTACATTACAAACGGAAGCAGCTGTCATGTATCTGTAATCATTAAAAACTTTATATGGGATAATCTGTACTATTGTAAGAACAATCATTGAGAGCATGAGAATGAGTCTAAACATCCAAACAGATTTTTCAGTAAATGGCTTGGTAACAATCTGGAAAAAGATAATTCCAGCATTTACTAATATAAATATTATATAGTCAAGGATGAGTTGCCCGTAATATGATTCAGAAAATGGACATGCACCAACACCAACTGATGTAAGCCAGAATATTGCAAGTAAAACGTAAATGAAGTTAATTGTTGTCTGACCAAATTCCATAAAAAGCTTTCCGTAAATAGAATAAAGTAAAAAATTAAGACAAAAGAATAGACCAGAAATCGGAGCAGTAGCTGAAAAGTCGATATCGTTAAAAAAACCTATCTCCACTTCTGATATATTAGAGAAATATCCAATAAATCTTCCTTGCATATAATAAATAATATATCCTGCAAATGAAGTTGCGAAAAAGAAATATGTTGTAAATAGCATAACCCACGAAAGGTTCAGCCATAAAGGAACCACAAATGACTGTTTAGGCTTTGAGCCTCCACAACAAGTCATGGGTTAATCAAATTGAAAATCCCTAACATTTCAATTTTTAGAATAATAATTTTGTTAATTACACATTATAATTTAAGAAAATCAATTTGATAATAAACGTATTCGATTATCAAAAAGGTTTAAGGTCCTTTTTTCATTTAAGGTACCCTATTCAAAAAATGAAGGGGCCCCTCACAAAATTGAAGGGGTACCATTCAAATTCTATCGAAATAGTACCTTAATTAAAAAAGCTCTCAACCGGTACCATTCAAATTCCCTCAAAAATATTGAAAAGATTTTAGGTATGCTGCTAATATAGTTAGTAGCATCATACAGAATGCATAGACAAATTTTTTACTAATTATTTTTTCTTAGCAATTCAAATTCGAGATCGCTTAACTATGCTTAGAATCATAAGCATAATAATTTTGCAAAAGGTATGGGAATAATTTGAAAATTAAATTCAAAATTATTAATACTAGTGCAAGCTAGTGTAAGCATGTAAATGCATATTTGTGCACTGATTCGATACTCTTTTTTGGAAATTGTACTTTATCTTAAATTTCGAATGCAAATTTTTTGAATATGTGTATTGAAACTGTAACCTTTTGTCTAAGTTGCATTCTAATATAGCTCGAATTCTAAATTGCATTTACTATTTCCAAAAAAATGCTCAAATTTGAATAGTTTTTAGAAAATTTGGAATTACACTCCTTACATTATATATAATTAAATGTTTAAATTTTATTTATTTTTCCCTTTTAATTTTATAACGTGCTCTATCCAAACTAACCTCTCAATTGAGGCAAACCCAAATTTTAGCTAAAAGTGACAGGAAAAAAAAACGTTTAGTATTCAAAAAAAAGACCAATGAGAGCTTCGTTCGAAATATAGAGGGAACTGAGAATGCGCAACCATTCTCAGGGAATATTGGATGCTATTCCCGTTCCCTCTGTATGGAAAATTGAGGTTTTCAAAGGGAGTTAAAATAATATCAAATTTATACTAATTTACTTCAAAATACAAAAGTATTTGACAGCTAAAATTAGATACTTTAGCAAGCCTATCAATACCCTTTTACGATTATTGTTACTTTTTCGAAATAAAAGTAAAAACAAATTTATACTAATTTACTTCAAAATACAAAAGTATTTGACAGCTAAAATTAGTTACTTTAGGCAAGCCTATCAATACCCTTTTACGATTATTGCTACTTTTTCGAAATAAAATAAATTTATTATCAAAAACCTTTTTTTTCTTAGTAAAAATAAAAATGTTATTTTATCTCAAGTTTTTATTCATAAATTTTTATAATGTTGTATAAATTTGAAGGTGGAAATCTGTAATAATTTTATCTTGAAAAGACTTGGCATTCTCAACAATGAATTGAGGGGTATTGCATCCAAATTCTGTAATTTGCGTGAGAATACTAAGCTTGATTTCCATTGGGATACTTAATTTCGAAAAATACTGGGTCATTCGTTTTTGAACCTTTGCTGCCTTGACAACTTTATCAAGTAGGTCATCTAAACCCAATTGAAGCGTATTTAAGTTTGCTGATGAGTTAACTATTAACGATTTAATTTTATCAGTGAGCATTATACATTTTTCTGTATCCAGTCTGATTGTAGACTTTTTTGGCTTTTTTTCAGATGGCAACGGATTTGGAATTTTGTCTCTGAGCCTTATATCTTGAGAAATTCTGTAATAAAATGAAGGAACGATAAAATCGATTAATTTCATCACAAATCGATCAAATCTCATGAAAATTGTTCCGCCAAAGTAGTAATATTTAATTTTTTTGTTAATCGATTCTGAAATGTTATTTGTGAGAGCTAAATTTTCATCTCTTTCAGCGGCTGTCCATCTTTCTTGGTTTGATATCCATTGATTTTGTATGTATTTTGAAAATTCTGGGAATTTTTCGGCTATTTCCAGAATTTTTTTGAACGTTGGTTCAATCCATTCTTTCTTGCCATTTCTGCCGTATGCAAGATAGTTCATTTTTGTATCTAATATCAATTTGTCTGAACTCTCAAATGCATAATCTTTCAAATTTTTTCTGAACGCCCTCATTACATGAACTGCACACCAATGAAGGATAACTTCTGGAAAAGAGTTGATAATCGCATTTTCGATTTCTTGTGCACATCTGACATAAAATATTTTGGTTTTACTTTTGCCCAGTTAAAAAATGCCTTGAGACAGAATGCAATATTTTCTGAAGTGTTTGGATAAACGACAAATTGAAAAATTGGGAATGCATGTGTATTTGGAAATTTGGCTGATATCATGTAAAACAACATTTTAAATTCAAGTAATGAATGGGTTGCATCAATAAAATGCTCTTTCACAATTTTGATTATGTCCAGAAATTTGAAAGAAGCATAATAAAAGATTAATTTCTTTGGTTTGTTGTAATTATCGACATCGAAATAAATTAAATCTTTTGGTGACTCTTGTTCTTTGATACCCTTAAATAATTGAGTTGACTTGAATTGATTATCATCGTACTTTTGAATACCTTTGATCTTTTTATTTCCTTTTTCCTGAATTGTTTTCATTTGATCTGAAGATGCATTCAAAAAAGATGGCCTGTTAAGTGGATCATCCAGATCAAGTTTTTTGTCGCATTCAATTTGAGCCATTTTCGGATCACCCCCCTGTTTTATAAAATTAATAAGTACCCGACGATAGCATTGTGATAATGTGTGGTATTTCTTTGTCTCATCTTTGATTTGATTGTGATTATGTGTTCCATTATATTCTGTTAGGATATATTCTTCATCATCCTTTAGAAATGAGATACATGCTTCACATTTATCTGCACTGCACCTGAATTTTAATTTTGTTCCCCCTAAATTTGGATTTTTTTTTAATTGATATGGACAACCTGCATGGCATTCGTTATCAATGACAGCTTTCATAGCATCTATATAAGATAGCCTTTCTTTAAGTTCGCATGGTGCATCGATATGCATCAAAAAAATGAAATGAAATTTCAATATCAAAAAAAGCACAAAATTTGAAAAAATTCACAAATCTCGGTTTCTGAAAGAAAATGGCCTCTTAAACTTTGTGCATATATTCATCTATAAGACACATTGTATCCATATATTATTTAGCCAACACAACTTATCTGGTATCGAGAAAATTCAAAAAAAGCACAAAATTTGAAAAAATTCACAAATCTCGGTTTCTGAAAGAAAATGGCCTCTTAAACTTTGTGCATATATTCATCTATAAGACACATTGTATCCATATATTATTTAGCCAACACAACTTATCTGGTATCGAGAAAATTCAAAAAAAGCACAAAATTTGAAAATTGCTCGGTTCTACATTCAAAATAAATTTCATTAATTTTTACGTACATATTAAGGTACTTATCTTCTACATATATAATCTTCATTAGATATATACATGATAAATAAAATTCATAAAACATTAAAAATCAAAAAATTAGATGAACCTTGGCAATTAAACTTTATTAAATAATAGTTGTTTATAAATTATATTATATTATCATTTAATATTATTTTGATAATGAAGATTTTATTTTGCAATAATATAAACGAAATTTTTTACCTTATGAACTTTTGATGGAAATATGCAAATTTAAAATAATAAAGAAAGCCGCGAGCGAAGCGATCGGCTTAGTTCGAAGATTTTGATTCAAATCTTTGCTGATCTGTAATTCGCGGAAGCCGCGAGCGAATCGAGCGGCTTAGGTCTAAGATTTTGATTCAAATCTTTGCTTATATTCCTTAAATTCTTTATGAAACTCGCAACAGTTCCATAAAAAATTTTAAATTCTAAACTGTCGAAATTACCGATCGGTAATCACACCCGTGAAGGGTGTGCCACTTTTACAGGCGCGTCACTTTTAGCTAAAATTACCCCTACTCATTTTGTGACCACCTTACGTTGGCCAAAAATATTCATAAAAATTTAATCGTTCTGAAATTATGAAAACGATAAAAAATTCAAATTTCGTATCGGAAGTAGAATTGAATAATTTACAATGAAATCGGACGATTCTTAATAATTTGAGTAAAACGCTCTATATCAAACAAATCTAAAGGGGAGGAAGTTTGGGGTAAAGCTTCCACGGGCATAATATGGGATAAATTCTTGAAAGAAACCAAGTTGGACAATGATGGCAACGGATTTCTAGTAGGAATGTTTGTAATTGGCTGTGAAACGGCAATAGGTTGAATTGGGATTGTCTGTGATTGCATTTCCTGCTGTTTATGTTTCTTATTTGAAATAGTACCGGCCAAATGAGGGCTTCTCTTAGATAAAACTAGCCATCTGTTTTTAAGCATTGTGTCAGTACGGTTCTTGAAAAACTTTGAAATAGTTACCCATTTAGAACCAATTTCTTTGAGTTTCGTTTCTAAAAGCAAATCTTCTTCGGGAGTCCATGGATCATGGCTAAGGTTTGGACTCAGATAGTTTAAGTATCTTTCTTTACATTGTCTTGAGTTTCGATTTGGCATTCTACTAGCAATAGCATCCCAGTCTCTAGTTCCAAGCTCGTTTACGAGATTAATAAGCATTATATCTTCTTGTTTCGTAAACTTGCTTCGTACACGCCCGGCTTTATGCAAGTTTCCTCCGGAGGATGTTTTCGATGTGTAAAAGCTCATTTATGAAGATTTGAATGTCTCACAATAATTGAGAGGATGAAAAAACTTTTGAAATAATTTGACAAAAACCGCCCGATAAGAAATTACTATCGAAACAGAAATCGGACATTATTGGAAATAGTAAAAAAGATTGAAAAAAATATAAGTAAAAATGTTCCAACGAGATGCAGAAAGAAATTGAAAAATATTGATGTTGATGGATGGTTATAGAACATTCGAAAAATTTGAGCGATTAATTTGAACAGAAAAATTAATATGATAAATTGTGAGGGAAATTATCGATAAGCAAATCATCTAAAAAGGTATTTTCATGCTATTTGAAATCATTAAAATCTTTTATTAATATTAAAAATTTATTTGATGCATCATTTTTACAATTTTTGTTTTCATGTTTTGTGAAAACTGTACGTTAAAGATAATTTCATTTGGTAAATTTAGTCTAATTATAAAATCATGGCCTTCTATTATAATAATTATAGTCTGCGTAAGGGTTTCGTTTTGCTAAAATTGTCACTTTTATAGCATATTTGTTTTTGGATGTTTTGCGAAACCAAAAAAAAAAAAACTATGATATACAATGTGTGTGTAAAGAAAATACTTTATTTACTAGTTAAAAAATCATTTGGTATTGATCAAGTTATTTTTTCTGGATAAGATATTATATGGATAATTGGATAGAAAATACAATTATATAATCTTGTACCTGGTTTAATTAAGCTAATTGTCATCAGAAACTTGTAATTTTTATGAATTTCAGATTTTCTTTTCATTACTGCTTTTCTTAATAGGTCAAGTTCTTATTTACGTTATAAAGTATGATATTTACAAATATCAAGTTATCATGTTTTTTGAGAAATTATGAGAAACAAACAAAAATGAAAAAGATAGGAATAGCAATGAATAGTGATGTGGGTATAGAAAATGTAAGAGATATGAATGCAAAGCAATCAGTATTTAGGACATTGACCATAGATTTCGAAAAAAAAATGCTGCATATTGAGCGAAAACTATGATTATATTATAAGGCTGTCATTTAAAGCATAATGAAACTATTCCCTTTTCATTTTAATCGAATAAGATAGTAAAGATTTTTGAATTAGCTAGAAACTGATGAGATGTTTTCACAAATCAGATTTTTAATCTCTATAATGCATAATTCACTCAATATCTCAATTTTGATATTGCGAGATATTTTTGCTATCGGTTTCGCAATTTTGACACAATAGCAAGAGGGTTCTATAAGCATTATTATCAACGTAGAATCTGAATATCATATCAGAAAATGTCGCAAATCTGACATTTACCTGACCAAATAGCAAAAATAATTGAATACTTTTCGCAAAAACTTTAAAAATCGATAAAAATATGAAATATAGATATTAAAGAGACTTTTTATATAATATTCATAAAGATTTTCCAAAAATATGATACCGCAAAATTAAAAAAGTGACGTCTTGAGTGGAGTCAAAGGTCGAAATTGCTAGCTAAATGTTTTTTAGCGAAATTGCGTATTGTACGTTTTTTTCGCAAAACGAAACCCTTAATGTACCTGATATACTATGTCCGAAAACTTAAATGACTACTGTTCAGCTTAAGTTTGCTTTTGGTAATTTTTTTGAATGTTCAATTTAATATAAATTTGGCTGAAAACAACTACTATCACATTATGAACATCAGACTTTGAATTAATCTGATTCATATATCCATTATCAATTATCATTCTGGAAAAAACTCAATTAATCTTATTTCAAATTCATTATGATTAAAATTATTCCTCAAATATAATTCAAGTTGCATGTAACAACGATAGTATTTGATCTTTCATGCATTTATTTTGCAAAATGATGTTTTTTAAATTTGATTTCTTCTGAGAATAAATATATTCACCATAATTTAAATCATATTCTAATTATAGTATGAACTTGAAAATTCTTCAGATTTTTCGTTTATATTGAATGCGTTCGAATTAATTCTAGTTGTCGTTGAAAACTTGATTACTTTATACCACTCATAGTTAATTGCGACATCTGTGATCATTTGTCTTCAAATTCTTGAATTTCTATCGAATGGAGAGAATTTAATGCACAGAATCACATTGGACATAAGGTTTGGACTATAGTTTTCACTTTAGTTAAAATATATGATTAGTATTTCATTACCTCTTTTCAAAAATGGAACATTTTGCTCAAAAAGAAGATGTTAAATTATTAAGATACTTTTATTTAATCAATTCTTTAAGAGAAATATATTGTTCTGTTCAGTTAGTTGCTCCATGTGCTTTAAGTATTTTGACTGCTCCTTTTTTACCGAATTTTGATGCCAATCGAAGAGCTGTGTTGCCTTTATTATCTTTTTTATTGATATCTGCGCCATGGAAAAGAAGTGTTTCTAATACCTTTTTGCTATAGTTGGTCATCGCAGAAATGTGAAGAGCGGTCATTCCATCATTATTTGTTGCATTAATGTCCGCACCGAGTGAAAGTAGTGTATCAGCCATTTCTTTAATATTTTTTTCTGCTGCAATGTGAAGGGCAGTCATCCCATTATTATCTGTTGCTTTAATGTCAGCACCAAGTGATATTAGAGTTTTTACAATTGCCTTATAGTTACTTTCTGTTGCTAAATGAACCGCATTTCGTCCGTCAATATCTTTTTCATTGATATTGGCTCCATGTGATATAAGATAGGTTGTTATTGCTTTATTATTAGATTGAGCTGCTAAATGAAGTGCAACTCTTCCAGAATTACTTTTCATATTGACATCTATTCCATTCAAAATGAGAATATTTACTATTGATTTAGAATTTCTCTCTGCCGCATGATGAAGAGCGGCCATTCCATTATCATCCTTTGCATTAATATCTGCGCCATGTGCAAGGAGAATTTCTGCTGCTTTTGAGCAATCATTTCTTGCTGCGTAATGAAGAGCTGTCATTCCATTATTATCTTTAATATTGATGTCTGCTCCAAGTGAAATAAGATGATTAAGTATTTGTATGCTACCGTCTTTCGTTGCAATGTGGATAGGAGTTTCATAATTTAAAGATTTTGCATTAACATCTGCACCATGAGAAGTGAGAAGTTTAGTTGCTAAAATATTGTTGTTTCTTATTGCTTGATGAAGAGGGGTTTCTCCAAGATCATTTTTCAATTCCATATCAGCATCATGTAAAATAAGCAATTCTACTATGTTTGAACATTTATCAGTAACTGAATTATGGAGTGCAGTACAGTTATGGTTATCTTTTGCATTAACATCAGCTCCATGTGAAATCAGAAATTCAACAGTGTCATAACCATTGTAATTACTTGCTGCAAAATGAAGAGCAGTCTGACCTCGAGAATCTATTTCGTTGATATTTGAATCATGTGAAATAAGTAATTTTACAATTTCGTAACTATTACTCTCAGCTGCTAAATGAAGAGCTGTCATTTCTTGTGTATCTTTTGCATTGATATCTGTCACATGCGAAATAATAAGTTCTGCAATTTCTACATTGTTACATTTCGCTGCATAATGGAGAGAATTTCTTTTACTTGCACTTGTAAGATTGATATCGGCCCCATGCTGAAGAAGCAATTTTGCTATATCATTATTAAAATGTTCTATAGCAAAATTAAGCACAACTAATTGTTCATAGCCACTTTTTGCATTTATATCAGCACCTTTAGAAATAAGAAGTTTTATAATTTCGTTTGCATGCTTTTTTGTGGCATAATAAAGAACTGTCTCATTAATCCAAGATGTGTCATTGATATCTGCACCATGTGAAATCAGAAGTTCTGCAATTTCTTTATTGTCATTATCAATTGCTATAAAAAGAGCTGACTTCCCTTGAAAAGAGTGGATATTTATATCCATTTTTTGTGTGATAAGAAGCTGTGTAATTTCCTTATTGTTATTTTCCACCGCATAATGCAGAGCTGGCTTACCTCCCTTATCCATTAAATCGATGAATATACCATGAGAAATAAGAAGATTTACTAATTCTTTATTATTGTGTTTGGTGGCATAATGAAGAGAGGTTCTCCCAGATGAATCTTGCAAATCTATGTTGATTTTATTCTTTATCGATGAGTCCAAAATAAACTTAACGATGTCAATATTATTGTAGGAAGTTGCAAAATGCAAAATGTTTTGGTATTTGCTATTAAATTGAGCAAAATTTAGATTTTCATCATGGAGGATGTCTATTGCCTCTGGCATTGCAGCACACCAAGGAATGATCAAATCTTTATTTTTCTCGTACATTAGGAAAAGAGCTTTCAAGTTTTGAGAATGAATAATTGATTGGTAATCAATTTCTCTGAGATCAATCAAATCTCTGTTCAAAATATATTCAATGAATTTATTATTATGACTAAAAATAATATATTTCAAGCCTCGCCGTTCAATTTTATGATCCTTCATACATTCATTAATAATATCAATATTTCCACCGATGAATGCATATTGAAGACAATTTTGAGTAATTTGATATTTTAAAGTTGATACGAGGAAAAAGAAAATATTGACTGATCCATAATAACAACATGTTTCAAGCAGAGTAAATGATGAAAAACCTGGTACATGCATCATATCAATGTTTAATGAGTGTTGACTGGCATATTCTTTGAATTTGTCGACTTGATCATACATGACCAAATAATTGACACTATCTTCGCTTGGGAAGACATTTTTATCAAATTCAATTTGATTTGAACTATCTTCATGCACATTAAAATTAAAATACCTGTTTTCGTAAGAAATATACTTAAAACTTAAGAAATCTTTGTAATTTAGAGAATATTTAGATAAGATTTGGTTAAGAATTTTAATGTAAAACTCAAACGATCGATAGTTGAACTGCATTGAAATAAGTATAAATAAAATAAGTTCCTTAAAAGGCATTTTATACTTGTCAATTAAAACCGATGTGAGTGAATTCATGACTTCATCAACAGACTCTTCTGGATTTAGGCGTGCAAATCTCTCAGTTGTATTTATGAAATCATCATATTTCTGTAAATCTGGGAAAGTCATAAATTATGAGGATAAATTTTTATGAAAAAGTGTCGATGTTTTTGAAGTATAATTAACCAAATCGAGATAATTTAATATCCTATAGTGAATATATGCAATATGAGAAAAGCAGGATCAAGTATTTATAAATTAGAAACAAAAAATTGAAATTATGTCTATTCCCGCAGGATTAAACACTATCATAATGTCAACGGTCACAAAAGTTCTATTATTTGAATATTAATTATGGCTTTAGCGAATCAATAAAAACAATGCAATATAAATTACCAAAATGAAATGAAAAGTATGTCTGAGAGCATATATCTATATCGTTAACAACTATTCTCAGGCAAATTATATATATAATTCCTACCTCAATTCCATTTGAAATCAGAAAAGATAATATTTGATTTACATTCTTTCTCTGGCAGTCATTTTGTAATAGAATTAATAATGAGCTACTAAATAAACTAGTTCTCCAAAAGAATGAAAGGTTTGATTGTTTTTAATGTATTTCTCTTGAAAAGCATACTCTCATATGTCATGAAAGATTTGCAAACATATTAACTATTGAAATATAATGGCTTTATCAGAAAAATTTTGCAAATTACCTCAGACTTTTCAGAGGATTGAGTTGCCACTCAATCCTCTGAAATAGTCTGTGGTAATTTTTAGTCTCTACACTATTTCAATATAAGCTCCATTTTTAAACAGTTTTTAAAAATCGAGCATTGAAAAGTGTGATGAGACTGAATAATTATCTTCTTTTGAATGGGTGTTGTTCAAAATTGAGGGGATTGAATTTTTTAATCATTTAATAATGATGTATATTAAGCAAATATAAATTTTTTTTGACAATAAAAAATTGAAAAGAAAACAAATATCGATTAATCCAAGATACTAATTATAATTTACTAAAAATATTAAAAATTAATTTCAGCAAAAGTGAGGTTCGGTAGGAATCACAAAATATCTCATTATTCATAATGTTCGCCATTTTTAGCGTCTTATCCCTTTCATTAGACTTATGCTACCATAACAATGGTGTTGGCGAGTGTCCAAATGGTTCAATTGGTATATCATCTGTTGATGACATCAGTTCTCACATTTCTATTTCAGATAAATCGGTTACAGTAACAGTTATCAACACACAGGATACTGCACTTAAGTGCAAATCCAATCTTAACATCCAAATACCAATCACCTTTGTTGGTCTCAACGATGCATACCTAGAATATACAGTTTACTCAGCTTCTACAGATCTTGCTGATCTTAGACTTTCTAATCTTAATGTTAACATCAAAACAAATGGTAACAAGATCACTTTCAACAAATTAACACTCAAGAAAGTTGCATTCACATTCACTTCGACGAATGAAGTCCTTTATGCAACAAGTCTTACATCCGATCTCTATTCAATGCAGTATTTCGATGCTGTTCAACCTAACGCTATCTACGTTGACTTTTCAAACAGAGGAGATATGGACAAATTATCAACAATCCAGATCTTTGCAGGTGCAACAGATATTACATTTGTTGAACCAACATCAAAGACACAAGTTTATATCAAAGATCGCGATGTAAAGTTAACATATGGAAATAAAGTTAAACCATTCCTTATTATCAAGTATTTGGAGACCGCAATTCAGCTTAACCTTCATGCAACACTCTATAACTTCGATATGGCTGTTGAATGCGATGAAATTTTTGATCATATTTCATTTGATGCTACTATTAAAGGAAACGCTAAGCTTACACTCGGTGCAAACACTGCTAAACTCTTCACAGAGAAGACAATCACAGTTAAAGGTGGTTCTGTTGCCTTCCAAGACTCAGATTACCAAGCAAATCTTGTCTTTGAATCAGGAAAGTACTCCCTTATCGAAGTTCCATCTGATATCCATTTCAACTCAATCATAATCAAACAACACAGTTTAAACATCAAGTCTCCACTTGCCGCTATGATCAAAGCTGATTCAATTACAATAGATGGTGATTGCGATTTGGATGTAGATAGAGAAGTTCGCTTTGTTGGTCAAGAAATGACATTAATTGGTGCTGCAAAAATTAATTGCGATAATATTACTTTTGAAAACTATGAGCGCATCAAAGCATCATCAGAGACATCAGTCTTATCATCACTTACAGCTCATGATGTCAACATCGAAATTCCACTTGTTATCAATTCTACAGGACCATATATTGTATTTGACAAATTCCATGTTACAACAGCTATCATCAGCTTATACCATGATGCTGTTGCAACTGAAACAGAAAGAGATTGGGATGAAATCGTTAATGATGTTGTTGAATTAATCCATGCTTCAGATATGACAACAATAAGCCAGAATATTGTTACAATTAGAGATTCTGCTGATCCATGGAAGGAATCAAGCAAATTATTCCCAAAAGAAAGAGTTGTTTTCATTGAAAGAATTCAAAACAATGTAATTGTTTTCACGATTCTTGCTAATCCAGCAAATACATACAAGACATACCTTTATACAAATGTTGACGTACCAGAAGCCACAGAATTAGTTGTTTCCAAGACAAATCACTGGTATGAAGGAAATAATTTCGATCCATACACAAAGGGTGTTAGATTTTTAGTACATACATCAATGCCAGAAGATGATGTCGTTGATTTCTCCAAAGTTAAAGGAAACGGAATTATCCTCTCCGCTTTCTTCGTTCAATCCGATTATGCCAACCATGAAACAACTCCAAACATTTTCATTAATATTGATACTCTCGATGGAATTTGCAATGATTTTTCTTTCAAGAATGTTGCCGTTAATTTCAACTCTTCAACATTAGGAAAAACAGTTCAAATTGATAGACTTGCAGCATATGGAAACACAGTCTTCATCTCCAGATTATTTAGAATCTCCTGCCCATCAATTACTTTACAAGACACTGTTGTTAAAAATTACGAAATATTCAGAGGTGACAAAATCTCTGTAATTCCAACAGGAACAGATATCAAATTAACAACAGGTGAAAATAAATGGACAATTACAAATCTCAATGAAAACACAGATGTTGATATTTATGTTGATATTGATTTGACATTGTTGATGACATCATCGAATATCAATCTTCAATTAGCTGTTGAAGAAACCGCTCAATCTGTTAAGACATTCAACGTCCAATTCACAAGCTATGGAAAAGTCTATGTTGCCAAGGAATTTGAGAATTTCAAGTCTCTTCCACCAATTGTTTTATCATCATCTGCTTCTGATTTGTTGATGATTATCAATGGTTCTTATGTACCAATTGCTTTCGGAAAGATTGAGAAAGTTACAATCAATTCCGAATCAACAGACTTGGAAACATCTTTCCCAGATCACACATTCTTCAATGGAAACAATTTCCAGTTAACTATCCCAGAATCATCAGGAATCAAATCAATTAACATGGGCAATCTCAAAATCAATGATCCAATTGTTTCAGAGTCTGCTTCTTTCGTTTCCAATCCAATCATCAAATTTAACTCAGTCAGAGTTAGTGTTCCAAAACTTATTGACTTAACAAATGTCATCACAAATGAATTAATTGTTGATGAGACAGTGAAAGTTAATCTCAAAGATTCAACAGTTGAAAATATCAGAATCCAAGGAGATATTGGTAGATCAACATTCCCAACAGTTTATTTGCTTAATTCTTCGATTAACTCTGCTGAAATTGAGATCGAAAGAAAGAGTGTTGAAAAGTTATTGGATATGAGTAGAATGATCTTCAGTGTTTACAACAATTTCAATTTGCAAACAATCGCTGAAAATATCTCTCTTTCTGACAAGTATTTGACTGTTGCAGGAAAGGACTATTACTTGTCATTAAGTATCTCAAATGATGCTGCATTTGTACAGTTGAATGATGCTCCAATTCCACCAACATATACTCCAGGACCAAACTCAACAGAAACAGTCATTGTTCCACTTCCATCAGCTACAGAATCTCCTGACGAAAAGGGAGGATTGAACATCGGTGCTGTTGTTGGAGGATCAGTTGGAATCCTTGTAGTTCTAATTGTTATTGTATCTGTAGTCATTTACTACAGATCTGTTCCAAAGGAGCAACTCGATAGTGACATCTTGACACAATCAAATGATTACCTTCTTAACACTGCTTTATAATTATTATAAATAAATCTATCATTTAGGTAAATGATATCTTTTATTATATCTTTCTTGAAATTTGAATTTTCTTTATTCATGAAAATGGAATAAACAGAAATTCATCAAAAGTGACAGCTCTCAATTTTTTGACATTTGTAAATTCTAAATTGAATGAGAAAAATGAAATAATACTAAGCATAATACAATATTCTAGATTTAATTATAATTAGGAAAAAGTTAGTTTTGAGAGTACTTTTCATAGGCATATAGAATGAAATCTTCTGAAAAATAATATCACATAAACTCATATTATTTTCTAATATATAACTATTTTATATAAAAATCAAATTCAATGATCTTAAAAGCGAAGGATAAACCTCAAAATTTACGAATATAATGAGTGGGAATATAATGCTTATCTATCATAAAACCATATGAAATATCAATTTTTGCTTTACGCCTAATTTTTGACGACAATTAGCAAAAAATGTTAAATGTTAACACTCAGTCCATTTGAATATGAAAAATAAAATTGACTTTGATTAAATGTTTTTATTTATCATGCAATTCTTCTTGCGACCAAAGATTTGAATAAAAGTTCAAAAAATAAGATAGCTTAAAAAATAATATACGGTAGTGTTTACTAATAGATGAATAGTATATAAATTCTATTAAAATGGATTTGATCCAAAAAAATATAAAACCAAAAATAATTGTTATAATTTAAATGAAGAAGTAATTTAAAACGATTTTATTTATGATCAAATTTTATATATTTTTTTGGATCAAATCCATTTTAATAGAATTTATATACTATTCATCTATTAGTAAACACTACCGTATATTATTTTTTAAGCTATCTTATTTTTTGAACTTTTATTCAAATCTTTGGTCGCAAGAAGAATTGCATGATAAATAAAAACATTTAATCAAAGTCAATTTTATTTTTCATATTCAAATGGACTGAGTGTTAACATTTAACATTTTTTGCTAATTGTCGTCAAAAATTAGGCGTAAAGCAAAAATTGATATTTCATATGGTTTTATGATAGATAAGCATTATATTCCCACTCATTATATTCGTAAATTTTGAGGTTTATCCTTCGCTTTTAAGATCATTGAATTTGATTTTTATATAAAATAGTTATATATTAGAAAATAATATGAGTTTATGTGATATTATTTTTCAGAAGATTTTGTGTTCTTCTTCAAAATTTTATTTTTTTATTAAAAAGAATCTTTACAAAATATACATTTACTTTAATTAATATTTAAAAACGTGCTCTATCAAAAGTTCCAAAAATTCAATATTTTAGCTTTTCTGAGGTGTCACTTTTGATGAATTTCTGTTTACAACAAAAAAAGTTTATTTTGAGAGTGCTATCAATTATATGCTTCTAACATGCAATCCAAAAAGATTTAGATGAATCAACCAATAGCAATATGAATATATATGGACTCGTGTATATAACTAGTACATTCACACCGAATGAAATCAAATCTATCACGTCGAAAATAAGAAAATTTAGTGATCACAATAATTAGACCCATCAAGTTTTTAATATTCAGAAATAGATTATGTATATATAATATCCAAGAAAAATTCTATATTTTCCCTTCTGTTTTCATTGTTGAAATTCAATTGTTATAAGTTTCAATTTTATATCTCAACATCACTATAAAATATTGAATATGCTTTTATAAGTATATTGGATTCGATCATATATGATCGTCTTCACATCAACAGCAAACATAAAAAGATATATCTCTAATGAATATCATGTAAAGATCAAATACAATCATCATTCATGGAAATTTATAAACAAAAAACAAAGTTTATTATTTAAAAATAAATTAAAATATAACAAAATTTGAATTTCTTTCCTCATCTTCAGATTCATTGGCCAATCTCTCCTTGAGCTTTTCAACAACATCAGTCTGGTTAATTAAATTCATCATTTCGGTTGCCAGCTTGTTTTGGCTGACAATTTTATCTTCATCAGCTCCAAAAACAGGAAGTCTGACATTGTTGAGGTCGCAAAATGAATAATGCATGTTATCAACACAAATTGTAATGAAATTCGGGATGATCTTAAACTCATTTTGCAAAAAGTAGAGGAGTTGGACTTTAATAGGTAAATTCGGATGGTTTGAGTCTATTGGCCACTCTTTTCCTATGGAGTTTTTGATTACGAACCTCATTGCCGTAATAATTCCAAATGTTCCGGCAATTGCAGCTGTAATTGCTTCAAAAACATCTCCATAGTATTTCGGAGTTCTGGATTCATCGATATCTCCCTTTGCAGCATCTTCTGAGCTGTTTTCTTTACGAACAATTGATAATAAATCAATTAAACCAATTTTGTAGGCTCTTTTACCAAGAAAGTCATTGCTTTTAAGAAAAGATGAAGCAATAGACATTCCTGACTCTGTTGCGTTTGGAAATGCTTCCATTTGTGAAACAATAAGAGAATATTTCACAATTAAATCTCCAATGAACTCGATTCTCTCATAATTGTACTTTCCAACTGATGAATGAGTCAAAGCAACAGTAAATTGAGTGACATTTGATGGATTTATGTCAAGTTCCAAAATTTTTGATAATTTTTCATGGTCAACATGGTCTCTTGACACTTTCTTGGGCATAACAAGGTTCATGTAGTCATCCACGCTTGTTTTCGTGATGTATTTGATGACTTTGTCCGCATGAGTTATCCGAACTGTTTCAAGGAACTCTTCTTGGTATTCCTCGATGATTTTCTTGAAGATCTCAATGCATTTGCTGATGTTCGAGTCAAGGAGAATGGCTCCAAATAGGGCTTCAAAAAGATCTGCCGATCCTTTCTTTCCAAGATCATAATTCGTGGGAGTTGAAGTGCAAAGTAGGGACTTGAGGTCTAATATCTCCGAAATCTTTGAGAAAGTTCGGTTTTTGACGAAGGCAATTTTCAATTCTGACATCAAACCTTCATTTGCGTAGTTGTAGCAGCCATTGAACACTGATATACCAAACAGGAGGTCGAGAACAGTATCGCCGAGGTACTCAAGCCTTTCGTAGTTGTGAATAAACTGAGATGATCTGAAATAATAAGAAGGATCGATCAGAAACTGCCAAACAATGTGCCAATTCTTGAATGTATAGTTGAATTTTTCGGTAAATTTGCGAATTGTCTTCTGCATTTTCACATTAATTGGCTCATCTCCCAATTTCATCGGTTTTATCTGATCAAAGATATCATTAAACAAATATAGCAATGATTGTACGGTCCTTGGGAATAGTTTCTCGGTCATAATCTCAATTGGATACATTAATTTGTCATTTTTCAATTTGGAAGTAAAATCTTCTGGAATTCTTTGTAGTATTTGCTGTATAATCGATAATTTGTGTTCGTAGATGTATTCCAAGTTCATTTGGAAGAGAGAATAATGTTGTGGATATTTTGTGAGGTTATTCATCAATTCATCAGGGGAATCGAACTCTATGAATGGTCCAACAACACTTATCAATGGAAGTTCTTCGTTCAAGTCTGAACTTCTGTATTTTTTGAAAAATATTTCTTTGTATTTCTTTCCTTTTGGTTCACAAACAGAATCAACCGAATATCCGAACACAGGTCTCTTAAAAACAAGTACTTTATTCTTTGTAGAGACTTGAATTAAAGATTCTATTAATCTGTAGCTGAATTTCGTGCAAAAGAATATTGCCGTATTTAATTGACGATCTTCTATCTCGTTGCACGGTTCTGTTTTGTCAATAAAGTCTTGGACCGGAATTTTAAGATTTTCGACAAATTCGAAAAATCTGTCGATTTCGGAGCCATGAGAAGACACAAATGACATCAAGTTACGACCATTTGACTTTTTATCTAATTTTTCTGCTATTGCTATATAGTCATTACTTAAAACATCATCAGAATTGAAAATTTCGCACCATTTTAGTGTATTTTTCAAGAAACTTTCATTCTCTTGCTGATTTACGGTCACAAACTGAGGCAATACAATCAAATCATTATTATTAAAGTCGGATGAATTAACTCTATAACAAATATTTGTAGTTATCTTTGTAAATGCTGTATGCAATTGTTCCCATTGCTCATCTTCTATTGTTACTTGTAATGGATTGGAAAAATGAATTCGAATAATATTTGTTGTTAAAATATCTTCGAAAATTCGTTTCTTTTTCGCGAAAAGTATAAAGTCTCCGGTATGTATGAGTCCATATGGGTTTTTAATCTTTGGTACCGGTATTCTAGGTATGAATTTTGTTAAAAAGTAATAAATCTTCATTTTTGTAAAATGGAAATTTGATGGTGAATTGATCAAGTATTATAGCTATAGAAACAAATGAGTTGGTAAATGGCCTCAGATTTATCAGATTTAATTAATTGATTTTGAAAATTGGATATATTTGCCCAATTCTATTTGCAAAAGAATTTATCATATGTAAATATTATGACACATATTAAAATAAGTTATAAAAATAATAAAATTTTAATCAGAACGATAAAAAATTTATTTTCAAAATAATGGATTATGAAACTACGAAGCGCAAAATTCGTGAGGGCATGGAATCATCAATCAATAGTGCCAATGGAGCCCTCGCAACAGGACTTGAAGCTTTAAATAGACTGAAATTGCAAGGTCAACATCTTACAAACGCAAACGATAACTTAAATCCACTTTTGACTTCAGGAGAAGCATCGATGAACTTAACGCATGGCATATTAAATAACTTAGGCGAGGCTAGAAATATGTTTATTATTTGCGCAATTGTTTTCATCGTATTGATCTTTTTCGTCATTCGCTGGAAACACTCGTAATCTAGAAGAATTTATATACGGATTTTTACTGAAAAATAAATGTTAATTATTTTGTTTTTTAAATTCTCTTTAATGAAAGAACATTTTATACAAGATTTCATAACTTTATACTAATATATGTACATATGATTCTGTGATTTTAAACAAATTTCTGAAATAGATTCTCCGAAAAATCAAGAAACGAAACAAATCATAAAGCAATTCGTTTCGAATATTTCTCTTATAAGAAAGCGCATTTACCTAAAATAACTATGTTCATCAATTTGTTTTGGATCTTTGATTTATATTCCATCGGTCACTGAATGAGTATATATATTGCAAATCGTATAGCAAGTTGCAATTAGTCAGCTTATAATGGAGATTTCATATGCATTCATATATATAGAAATAAAAGTTGTGAAAAGAGATTTTTCTAATCTGAGCCATTCATATCTAAAACTTATACTTTGTTCACACACACACAAGCAAACAAACAAACAAACAAGCAGACTCTCTCTCTCTCTCTCTCACTCATAAAGCTGAAGCCAGAATCTATATGATTGATTATAAAAATCGTTTTAGAATGAATAAATAGATTTATTTTTTTAACAAAACTCTATATAAATAATATATAAAATATAAAAAGTCTAGAGACTTATTGCATATTCTGTGTGAACAGCGCAAGTTTGTATTGGCTTGCTTCATCTCCAAAAACAGAATTAATGAGTTCTTCATAATTTTCTGAATTTACACTGTTTTGAAGAATTCTTTTTATCTTTTGAAGAGTGGAATTAGAGATGTTTCTTTTTGCAATAGATTTAGGTGTTGATGCCATAATCCTAACTAATGGAGATGCATCAATCTGTGCTCTATTGTATATCTCTAAAAAGAAATCAATCAAAATATTCGAAATTTCTAATTCTTTTTCTGGAACAAAACTCAGTAAATCCATTGGCAGTTCATTGTATGGGAATGAGTCTTTTAGTTCATTCTGGAGCTTGGAGAATACAATCATGCATGAATTGGAAAGTTCTTCGTTGTTTGTCTCTTTGGATTCTTTGATTAAATCAAGAGAAAACTTAAAAATCGACTCATAAAGTTCGGTTTTTTGGAAATGAACTGAAATTGACAATAAACAACGTAAAGCATGACCATTATTGTTGTAAGCTGATGGATTCTGAGAACACAAAGAGAGAACTTCTTCAAGAGTTTCTTGATTCAACAAAGAGACCGATTTTGAAAAGAAATCAAAAGCAAATGTTTGATTTTTGGCTGAATCTAAGTAGTTTCTCATGATATCTTGAATAATTGATTGATCAAGAACTAAACTACGCAATTCATTGCTACTTAAAACAATTTCAAGAAAATCTAACGATGATTTATCGGATTTTTCTTGATCTCCGCCTCGAATCATCGGATTTCCATTGACTGCGATATCAACAGCGGAATTTATATGGTCAATGTGTTCATTCAATGAAATTCCGTGAGATTCGTGGAATTTAATAATTTCTCCAAGGGAAATGAAGAATTCTTGAAGTGAGTCGAGATCAGAGGCTGAAAGTACACCTCTGAGAACAAGATCTGTTACTCTTGAGACAATTAAATTTGAGATATCATTTAATTCTTTAATATTTGCTAGAATGGTTCTCAAGCCTGTAGCACATGATGATTTGACAGCAGAACTAAATGATGAGAGCTGCGAATCAAGGAGTTCAAACAAATCATTAATTTTATCTTCAAAACCATTAATATCCGAGCCAGCAATTAAGCACAAAAGCGTTATAGCTGAAGCAATGATCATGCTGTCACCTGCTGAATAATCATCTGTGTCATCTTCTAAATTTGGCAAATCTTCTGGAATTTCTTCGCCATCGAAGTTGAAAACATCATCACCATTGCTTTTACTGTTGATAAGATTCATCATCATATCAAAGACCGGTCTTTTGATATCGGTAAATAAAGATTTATCACAAGAACTGAAGATTTTTGTAAAAGCATGTATCGATTCAAATGATGGTGTTTCTGTTTGTAAGTCTTCAATAATAAGATTTGCAATATTTGAAATTTCATCAGTAAAAATTTCCGGAGAAATTGAAATTAGTATTGAAATTGTGTACAAAGCAAGCATTTTTACGCCATTGTCATCGATTTCAAGGAGTGGCTTGACGTATTCATAAATTTCAGTGATATGGAAAAGAATAACTTCATCGGAGCCTTTGATAAGCGAAGCAAGGCATTGGAATGCATAAAACGTATGCATGTTCGATGAAATTATCTCGGAAATCAGTCCAAGAACCGAATCAAAAATTGAATCTGTCTTATTCATTGATTCTAAGATACTATTAAGGGTATTAAGGAACTGAGGTGTTGGAGAATATCTAATTACTTCTATTAGATCAGGAATTAACTGGACAACAGCCGGAATCTTTAAATTTTGTGAAAAAATACTGATTGCAGAAGCAGAAACAGACCTTAAGAACTCGGAATCACTTGTCAAACTCTCTTTAAGCGTATCTAAAACATAATTTATCGTTTCTTCCTTGTAAAATTTGCAATTTTCATCAAATGTTGAAGAAAGTAAGCTGATTTTGATGAACATCAGTTCAACAGAAGCTTCAAAACCAGAGACAAACTCAAATATATATGAAAAAAGCTCTTCATCGTGAACAAAAAACGGAATAAAACAATGAAAGTCATTATCGATCTCCAAATTCATTTCTTCATCATTAGTACTTTGTGTCTCTGAAATAAATTTTGAATATGAACCAATTAATTGAGGAATTATTTGTTTCAAATTTTCAAAATTATTTTTATCGAAAGAAGACAAAATTGAGTCGCAAATATTGACTATATTCCTACGAATTGTTTCATTGATGGCACTATTTTGTAGTAATTCGCATAATTTTGAAAAAGATTCATTAATTACTTGAAATAGCTGTTCTAATGCTGTTTCATCAGCGCACATCATAAATCCTGGGAACTCTTCTTCAATGAATTGAGAAAAGAACTGAGAATATTTGAAACTTTGGTTAATTTTATTTTGATTTGAAATTAAACATAAATTATCGATTGCATTCGAAAAAATGGATGGTAAGTTAATACAGTATTCGTTTGATTCTAATTGCGATAGTCTAGCAAATAAAATCATTGAGTTTTCTTGTAAATTTGAATTATTTGATTGTTCAATGATTGATTTGATAAATTCGATCGCATCTGAGATGTCAAGACTTGATGTACCGATATCGTTGATAATTAAGATAAGTAATTGAATGCAGGACTGTAAATCATTTAAATTGTTAATTTGGTAATTTCTAAGGTACGTATAAACAGGTTCAGTAATGTCTGGTGAATATATGCAATGTGAGATATAATGGATAATGTTTTCTCTAACAAAGTCTGATTTTGGAAAAAATGCAAGCTGAAATATGGTATTTGTCCATTCTTCATTCATTAATATCTGCTCCTTGTTCACCGTCATGCATTTTCCTAAACCAATTGTAGCTTGCTTTTGTAAATAGTTGTCTTGAGTTGTAAAAATTAAATTTACAAGTGGTTCGAAGGAATTTACATCTGAATGATAGGTATTTATAGAGTTAGTTAACTCATTCATATCAACGTTTTGTGGATTCCTTAATAATTGGTAAAGATCTTCGATATTCATAGTTTTGCAAAATTCAAAAAAGTGACAAAGATTTTAGAAATTTGCCCTGTTTCATTGTGGAGTAGGCAGTAAGCATAATTCCTTCGATTTAAATACAAACTTACTTAGTTACTCATTTCAAATAAGAAACTCTATCGAAAACATGCTTTTTCGCTTACATTTTTGTAATTTTAGAATTCAGAAAGTAAACTTTGGCTTCAAAATTGATGGACTTTAACAGACTGTTGCAAATATCGATATTTACATATCAAATTTCTTTATAAAACCCTTACATATATTTTTGAATTTTAGACTTGAATTTTATTATGAAATACTCCATCGTGTAGTTTATATGTACTTACTATTTTGTTTCTTCTGTGGTCACTCTCATTGATTGTTGAATTTAATCACTATAGATTGTTTTCAGTTATATAAATAGAATGATTGCCAAATCTGCTTTCTATAAACTATACTTGCAGAATTTGTTAAAAATCAGAGCATTATTAAAATATCCATGGAATAAAATTTAGTGGTAAATAATTCAAAAAATATATAATAATATTGTATATTTCTTCAAATAGAGTTAACAACAACGCCACCTCTTCTTCTTTGGGCCGTTTTAACTTTGGATTGGCTTGTTGTACGGGTGAGTGTTCTTCTTTCGTACTTATCCTTCACATCCTGTGAATACTGGGATAAGTCCATTTGCATTAATACTGGATCTTTAATAGCTCCTCTGTATGGTTCTTGTGTTTCTGTCAAATGAAGGTCAATTCTGATGCCAACTTGTCCTACATCAGGATCGTCCATAATAAGAGGTAATGTGTTCAATGTTACAACATCCATTGGCAACAAAATGAAAGGAATAGTAACAGTGCCAATTAATTCGTCGTCAAATATTGATTTTCTAACAAGTTTAATAATGAGCTTTCCACTTGGAAGATCGTCTGTTGTCAAATGGTATGATTTTGAAACATGTTGAGCTTCTTGATATGTGATCTCAAAGTCTTTGATGGCGTTCTTCTCTGGATTGCATATTTGATATACAAGAGAAGAGCCAACATAAGTACTGTCTGTAAATACGAATCCACTGATGTGGAAAAACAAGTATGTTTTACCCATTGAAAGAAAAATAAGTTGAAAAAAAAATCGGAATTCAATGTGATATTGAATTGGATTTTATTGTAGAATTATAATTTACAGACGATATGCCAAAAAGTTAATTGCTTTGAAATATGATTATACTTTGAAAAATGTTAATACCAATTAAGGATTTCGTTTTGCTAAAATTGTCACTTTTATAGCATATTTGTTTTTGGATGTTTTGCGAAACCAAAAAAAAAAACTATGATATACAATGTGTGTGTAAAGAAAATACTTTATTTACTAGTTAAAAAATCATTTGGTATTGATCAAGTTATTTTTTCTGGATAAGATATTATATGGATAATTGGATAGAAAATACAATTATATAATCTTGTACCTGGTTTAATTAAGCTAATTGTCATCAGAAACTTGTAATTTTTATGAATTTCAGATTTTCTTTTCATTACTGCTTTTCTTAATAGGTCAAGTTCTTATTTACGTTATAAAGTATGATATTTACAAATATCAAGTTATCGTGTTTTTTGAGAAATTATGAGAAACAAACAAAAATGAAAAAGATAGGAATAGCAATGAATAGTGATGTGGGTATAGAAAATGTAAGAGATATGAATGCAAAGCAATCAGTATTTAGGACATTGACCATAGATTTCGAAAAAAAATGCTGCATATTGAGCGAAAACTATGATTATATTATAAGGCTGTCATTTAAAGCATAATGAAACTATTCCCTTTTCATTTTAATCGAATAAGATAGTAAAGATTTTTGAATTAGCTAGAAACTGATGAGATGTTTTCACAAATCAGATTTTTAATCTCTATAATGCATAATTCACTCAATATCTCAATTTTGATATTGCGAGATATTTTTGCTATCGGTTTCGCAATTTTGACACAATAGCAAGAGGGTTCTATAAGCATTATTATCAACGTAGAATCTGAATATCATATCAGAAAATGTCGCAAATCTGACATTTACCCGACCAAATAGCAAAAATAATTGAATACTTTTCGCAAAAACTTTAAAAATCGATAAAAATATGAAATATAGATATTAAAGAGACTTTTTATATAATATTCATAAAGATTTTCCAAAAATATGATACCGCAAAATTAAAAAAGTGACGTCTTGAGTGGAGTCAAAGGTCGAAATTGCTAGCTAAATGTTTTTTAGCGAAATTGCGTATTGTACGTTTTTTTCGCAAAACGAAACCCTTATACCAATCATATAAGGATAAACCATATGCAACTTAGGTAAATATTCAATAAAGTTTTGAGCGATATCTCATTTTTTGAATGTCTTTTCAATTTTTGTGAATAACTATAATATATTGATACTACTAATTAAATTAATGATAAACAAATATTGAAAATTTTACGTCATGGGAGTTAAAATTATTGAAAAAGCTAACATTTTTTGAATACTGCTGACTAAGTATGGCATATTTCAACTAATGATTGTTTAGTAATTTTGTAATAAACAGAAATTCATCAAAAGTAACAGCTCTCAATTTTTTGACATTTGTAAATTCTAAATTGAATGAGAAAAATGAAATAATACTAAGCATAATACAATATTCTAGATTTAATTATAATTAGGAAAAAGTTAGTTTTGAGAGTACTTTTCATAGGCATATAGAATGAAATCTTCTGAAAAATAATATCACATAAACTCATATTATTTTCTAATATATAACTATTTTATATAAAAATCAAATTCAATGATCTTAAAAGCGAATGATAAACCTCAAAATTTACGAATATAATGAGTGGGAATATAATGCTTATCTATCATAAAACCATATGAAATATTAATTTTTGCTTTACGCCTAATTTTTGACGACAATTAGCAAAAAATGTTAAATGTTAACACTCAGTCCATTTGAATATGAAAAATAAAATTGACTTTGATTAAATGTTTTTATTTATCATGCAATTCTTCTTGCGACCAAAGATTTGAATAAAAGTTCAAAAAATAAGATAGCTTAAAAAATAATATACGGTAGTGTTTACTAATAGATGAATAGTATATAAATTCTATTAAAATGGATTTGATCCAAAAAAATATATAAAATTTGATCATAAATAAAATCGTTTTAAATTACTTCTTCATTTAAATTATAACAATTATTTTTGATTTTTATTTATCATCCACATTCAAATTTGAATCTTATCACAAAAGAAGGACCACTTTTAAGTTAGTATACCTAAGTCGTGTACTGAGGCACTGCGTTCCACCTTACCCATTATATGTGAATTTGACACTTTACAAAACCGTTAACGTATATTTTACAACACAAACACAAACACAAACTTAACCTTAAATATTTATAAAGCCGCCAACCACTTCACCTCACTACTGTAAAAAATAAACGTTCTCACTTACAAAAGTATTGCAACTCTTCCCATTGCTGTGCTTCACACAATAGTTCATATTCTTCAGTATCGCTGCTGTCGCTCCAATCGTCAGAGTCAAAGTCACTGTCAAAATAAATGTTAGTAAGTTTTGACAAAGCTAATGAAACACGCTTACCGTTTGTATCGTATGCTTGTATAAACTTTCCATTCTTCATTCCTTCATAAACGCTCAAACTAACTTTACCCTTTCTCCCTCGTATCTGATAGAATGTATTTTCACGAGGAACGAAGAACAAATTCTTGAACTCATGACCGTTGTAGTTTGTTATCTCAATAGTTTTCGTCATTTATATAAAAATAAACTTAAAAATTAATGATATCACCACCCTCACACGTATGAAAACATAGCACAAAAATAAATTTAGGTGAAGTGGTGAAATCTCACCTCTTTTTTCACCTGTTTTTTCACCCTGTTGAATTCATTGCTTTATAACTCTCTTCCTTTCTCCAACTCTTCTAACTTCTTCTTAAGTTCAGCAATGTTGTCCTCATGAAGTTTAATCTTTCTCAAAATTCCTTCTTTATCTAATGGTTGCTTTATCTTTCTAAACTGAACTCTACCATCCTTCATAGTATGAATGTAAAAACCTTCTGGAATAGTTCCTGATTTAATGTATTCTACCAAGAACTTTTGTTTCATTGCTTCAGTGACTTTATTTGTCATTTTACTCTAAGGTGAAGCTAGCACAGTGATAATGGATTTCATGACTTTTTAGTATTTCATGCAATCTTAACAAATAGCCTTACAAGTACTTCCAGTGTCCCTAGCTGTCCCTCCTTTTTATATAACTCCATGACATTTATAATCTCGCGAAACTTAACAGGTAGCATAACAGATTAAAATCAGATGAGGTTTTGAACCAAAATTTCTAAGCAACGTTGTCAAGGATTTTGAGGAACTAGGACAGAGTGTGGCAAAGTCCAAGATTTAATTTATCTTCATCTGTTTCATCAGCTATCTCATCTAATATGCCAATATTTTATTCATAACTCGTGGCAAACTCACTAACTTTCATTATATTCATCTACATGCTTCATCTGATAGAAAGTATGACTTTCATTAACTCTGTGAGATAATGAAAACTACTAGGACAGAGACCATGGCAAAGTTTATGACTTTCATTATTTCCAGAACTTAATGAAAACTACTAGGGACAGAGACCATGGCAAAGTTCATGATTTAATTTATTCTCTCACTAACAACAACCACAAACTCCAACACTAACGACAAGTACTAACTCAGCACAAATGACAAACACTAACAACAAACACAAACTCCAACACTAACGACAAAAATAAATGTCCTCACTTCTTAACAAAGTAATATGTGCTTCTTACACCACCATAGCTCAAACGTTTCTTTTCAAACATCGATTGAAACTTATTTTGAGCCATTGGCTTTAGTCTCTTTTTCTTCAAATACGCCAAGAAATCTTCTTCACATCTTTTCACTTCATAGCCTTCTTTAAACTCCTCCTTGTTAAGTTCTATGAAATCCTTTATAACATTCTTTGTTGCAATGGCTTCTTCACGAACGACATCGTGAACTATTTCATCACATTCTCATGTATGACCTCCTCACTGTTCTCATGAACTATTTCATTTCTCATGAATGACCTCCTACTGTCTTTCATAAGCGTTTCAAAGTCTCCTTTACTCATTACTTCAATCTCATGCTGTTCACAGTAGTACTTAAACTCACTGTATATGTCTTTGTTGTATGTTATATTGCTTCCCATGTACTCCATGAATTTTTCAAGCACTTCCTCATAATTCACTGTTTCTTTCTTTCCACGACCTTCTAATATCATACTTGCTTCGTAAATATAACTTCTTGCAGAACCGTCTCGCTTTCTACTTCTCTTCACAAATTCTCTCATCTTGCCACCAAATACATTTGAACTACATGCAAAGAATTCATTCTCCTTCGCAAATTCTTTATATCTTCTGTAGCACTCTGTACAATTCCATCCGGATACAAACTTTTCATAGAACTCCTCGTAAAACATTTGGTAAGGTGTTTTGTTCATTTCGATGAGTTCTTGTTTAGCCCTGGTGAATGGTATCTTCCTTACATCAAATTCACTTAAATCTTTCTTCATGAAGTACGTCAGTAAGTTTGAATAAAACTCTTCATTAAAGCTTTCAATGAGATTTGAGAAATATTCGTAATTTCCTTTGTATCTGCTGCTTACGTCAATGACAACAAATCTTCTGTCGTCTTTGTCAATCTTTACTGAGTTGAAGTTGTTAGATATCATGATGATATTACAAACATTCTCTATCTTTCTTACTGGCTGACACTTCTGATTTAAGTCCAACTGAGTCTCTGTTACTATTGACTTTAGTGCGTCGTGGTTCATGACCTTAGACGTATCGCATGAGCTTAGTTCATTGCATACGATGAGCTTCATGTTCTCAATAGCAGCATTGAATCTACCAACCACATTCTCTATTGCCGTTATATTATTGTTGGCGTACTTGCTAATGAGCTCGCATAGAACATTACTAAGTACATTCTTACCAGTTCCTTGCTTTCCTATTAACAAAAGTACTGTTCCAGTCTTTCCACAAGGATTTTGAACGATGTAGGCGAACCA